GTACCCAGGAAATGTCACTTCTGTCAGCCCTTGATGTGGAGCATTTTTCAAGGAGCCCCCTGTTAAACCATTGGCAGCATATCAGTGCCTATCCAAGCCCCAACATTTACCTCACATCAGACCCCAATTTGCCAATCCTTTGTGGCTTGACATCTGGATTCACCAGCACCTCCACAGTGATGCTTGTGTTTTGGGAATAACGATTCCAGTCACCCAAGCCAAAGATTACAAGTTGTTTTGGCAACGGCAGAGGCAGCTGAATCTGGTAACACATCCGGCTGGATTTGCTTGAAGAAACAACAAAAAAAACGGTGTAGCAGAGATACAGGAAGCCCAAATGAAAACAAGGAGAGGCCTGGGCAGACGTCCATGTGAGGAGAGACTGAAAGGATTAAGACTATTTAGTTTATAGAGGAGATGAATAAATGGGGATGTGATTAACCTACAGAAAATAATGAATGGGCTTGAGAGGGCAAATTAGATGCTTCTATTACCCTTTCTCATCATAATATAAGGACAAAGGGTATTCAATCAATTTGAAAATGGATGGGCAGCTGATGTGCACAGACCACTGCCGATCATGCTGATCGGTATCGTTTCACTGGGTCCTTGTACTCCCTTATCTATATCCAACTGTTGTCTCTTGTCTTAGGCCATGTCTACACTACCATTTATGTTGGCAAAACTTATGTTGCTCAGTGGAATGAAGTAAGGGTACCATACCACCGTTCGGCCAACAGCCACCGCTCTCTGGTTACCCAGTTCTGACTGTGTGCAGGAAGGGTTTTTTTCCTAAAGCTTCTCTCCCCCGTCCAGAATACATTCCACACACCCCAGTTTGAGAACCTCTGGTCTAAGGCTATGTCTACATTAGATACCTTACAGCAACACAGCTGTACCGATGTAGCTGCACTGCTGTAGGATCTCTCATGTATCTGCTCTATGACGACAGGAGAGAGCTCTCCACCCCCACAAGCGCCAGAAGCTATGGCGGTAGGAGAAGCTCTCCCACCGACACAGCACTGTGCACACTAGCGCTTATGCTGGCGTAATGTAGGTCGCTTGGGGAGTGGAATATTCACACCCCTGAGCGACATAAGTTTTGCTGTCATAAGTGGTAGTGTAGACATAGCCTTACTGCTCTGTGTTTGTACAGCACCTAGCATAGTGGTGCCCTGGTCCACCCCGGCTCCTAGGCACCACAGTAATACAAATAAACAATAATCATAATTTAATTAAATTGAAAGGCAACACAGTTCAAACTGATTAAATATGTACAAGCTCCTTAGAGAAGGGACCATGGTTGGTCCCTAATCCTGCCTAGGGCCTCTGGACACAGCAGCCACATAAATAAACTGTGGCACTCAGTACCAGATCACTGACATACCTGTCACCTGCAAGGGGCCCACAATCCAGGGGGACAGCAACGGCTGTCTCTAATCAGACACACCAAGGTATTACAGCGCCAGCCAGCCGTCCTGGGCTGATTCCGGCACAGCACTTTGAGTGTAGGAAGTCCTGCGTAAAAGCCACCTACCGCTTCTACCGAGAGGAAGGCCGGGTACTAGGGAGCTGCGTTTATTTTACTCCCCACTGTTTGGCACAGCCTCGTGACCTAAGGGCTGGCGGGGCGGGGGGTGTCTGTCCAGCGGGGTTCACACACCGGGGCCGCAGGTCAGGACTCGGGGGCAGCGGCACAGCTGCGGGATGGGTGCTAGCAGTGGCGTCGCCCGCAGGCGAAGCGGGGAATTGCCAGAGCTGAGGGCCCTGACCTGTGCGGGCTGAGCGCACTCGGAGCCCAGGCCGGCTTCCCCCCCGCTCCGCGCAGGCCGAGCCTCCGGGAAAGCCCACGTGGAGCTCGAGAGAGCCGGTGGGGCCGGGCCTACAATGACGACCCGTTCAGCTCGTCCCCGGGTCCCTCCCGGCGCGGATCTCACTCACCTGCTGAGCTGCCGGGGCGGCTCCTGCAGCGACCAGAGCACGTAGAAGTGGAGGCTGGAGCCGGAGCCACACTCCGGGGCGTCTCGGCCGGCGCATCCCACTGTCCAAGGCCCCCGGCAGCCCAGCTCCAGCGGCGGTGCGGAGACCGCCCGCTGCCTGAGGCCGAGAGGCTGGGTCTGGAAAGCAACATGGCCAGAGGAGCAGGTAGAGGGAAGCCTAGGGCTTTATACTCAGCTCGGAGAGGAAGGGGCACAGGACAGCCCCACCTAGAGACCCCCAAAGGCCCCCGATCCTGGGACTGGCAGGAACTGGGAGTACCCCTATAACGGGACAGGGGTGGGGAACAAACCCCTTCACCCAGGCCCCGTTTTTTTCCTCTTTTCCTGTATTCATTCTTGTAGATGGTCCTGACTTCAATCCACCTCCCTCCGCAGCTCCCCAGACACAACCCCACCCACACCCAGGGCCGGCTTTAGGCCAATTCCACCAATTCCCCCGAATCGGGCCCCGCGCCTAAGAGGGCCCCGCGCCCAGTGCCAGGGCTGCCCAGAGTGGGGGGCAAGTGGCAGAGAATCCCTTCCCTGGCTAGAGGCGCCTTTTTAATTTCGACTCACCCAGCGGCGCTCCGGGTCTTTGGTGGCACTTTGGCGGCGGGTATTTCAGTGCCGCCGAAGACCCGGAGCGAGTGAAGGACCCGCCGCCAAAGACTAGGAGGGCGGCCCGGTGAGTACAAGCCCCATGTGGTTTTTTTATGTGGGTTTTTTTTAGTCATCCCTGCCGGGGCCCCGTCAAAACTGTTCGAATCGGGCCCCGCACTTCCTAAAGCCGGCCCTGCCCACACCACCGCTTCCACCACTCCCCAGTTGTGAAGGGGGCACACCAGTTGGTCCTGTCATTAGGCTGGACATCAGCTATTAAACCCAGTTTAGCCCACACCCATGGAAAGTGGTCATGGCAGTGGTAGAGGTGGGTGGCAGCGAGCAAGTCCAGCCCCAGTTACAGCAGAGATTGGCCAGTCCCCCTTGGTAATCAGAGCACTGCAGAAACCAGTGCCATGGATCCAGGGCTTAGTGAACAGCAGAATCTAGTTCTGGCAGGGCTTGAGCCCTTTGTCTGTGAACCGGGTTGAAGGGGTACCAGAAGAGGATTAGGGCTGACACCCAGTCAAAGGTAGCAGGTTTCCAAGCGTAGACCACAGTTTTACATGCAATCAATGCACATGGCTTTGGGGTAGGGTGGATAGAGAGACAGAACAACTGAGGACCTTAGCAGTAAAATCAGCAGAAGCCAATAAATTAACAGCCTGAGTTCAGACATATTCAGACTAATGCAAGAGAGAAGGATCCTCATAGCCCAGCATTCCAAACCCATCCCTTTCCAGGCAGCGGGGAGGAGGGGTGCGGGGAGAGAATGACTCTAGTTCAGTGATTAGGGCACCCATCTCCTCCTCCAGCTGTTGTGTGTGGAGCAAGGGAGCTGCTGAACTCATTCCCATAAGAAACACCTTAGGCACCTAAGCTGTCTGAATCCAGGCAGCTCCATTTGTTGACTGCTAAACGGAGCTAGTACGTAATTCTGAGAGGGAACAGGTTTAGGACACATGCGTTGGGTTGGCATCTCCTATTGGCTAGTTTAGGCAGACTCCCATCAAGTATGCTGGCTTTTGTGGATTGCATTCTTAGGTACCTATCTCTCCCCATTCATTGTATAGGGAGCATTGGTGCTTAATTCAGGCTTTGAATCTCAGTATTGTTCCTATGATTTTCTAAAAGCTGGTGCTGTGATGCTCAGCATTGGAATGGCTATGTCTCTTCCTGGCTCCCCCTCTATGTGTCCAAGAGTTATAGTTAGAAAAGTGTTTGTGGTACAGTCAGTGTAAGAGCCACACAGCTGAGCAATTAACTCATGTGGTAAGTTTCATGCCTACTTCTGTTGAGTTGTCCACAAGCCAGTTTTCCTCCTCTGCCATTTGAAATTATTCAAGAACGGGAACAGAATTATGAGGGTGCAGATAGGTCACTGTGGGTATTCAGTGGGTAGTTTGGCCCAGAGCACATGACTTTTTTTCCTCTTCCATGACTGGATGAGCACAACTCTTAGAATTAGGTTTCCAGTGTGAATAAATTCCAAAATGTGCTTTGTGAAAATATCTTTTACATTTACCACTACCCTGTATGCTCTTGCCCATCCATTCATTCACAATACTCAGAGCAAACAGAAAGGTAAAAATACAAACTGGAGCCACATGGACATTGTAAAAGGAGCCCTAACATTTGCACTAGTCACTCCACTCTGAACTCCCTAAAAGCACCCAATGCTGCATAAATGGTGAAGGGTACATAAGGTCACACACAGGTAGTGTAGCTGTGTTTCTGCTTTTATTTTATCTAGCAGCTGTTCTTTACAAACAGCCTGCTTCTTGGGGCTATTTAAATACAGCCTTCAGATTGGCCTAGTGCATCTCCTTACAGCCCCCTAGCCACAGAGGCTGAGAAGGAAAACATGGTTTCTGGGCAATTTAATTAGTCTCTCAATTGGAAAAAAAACACTCTCTCCCTCCAACAATTCTAAAGGTGATGAAATGGAGAATAACTGTCCCTTAGCCCTCCCCTCTCCTGCTAAGGGTTACAGTACAGATACTATCAGAGCAGGCAGAGCTGCCTCCTTGTAACTTGTGGAATAGGGGGGTTGATTAATTTTTAAAAGCCTCTGAACTCCTGCCCTCTGACTCCAGCCCTGGAAGCATGCTCTGCTGCTGCTAAAAACCACATTCATTTGAAGGGCAAGAAAATCCCAACAAGATGTTGACACCATCTGGACAAAAATAGTTTGGATGAAATATGTAGCCCCTGGCCTTGCTCCACCACCTCTATTAGGCTTTGTAGATATTTTGATTCCCCGGCATCACATATAAACCAGCTTTATTTGCAACTCAAGGAACAGAGTGTTGTGCTGGACCAAACATAGGCAAGAGTCTGTCTCCACGTTGCATGGTTTTGGCAAGCTGCTTACAGTCTGTTGGAGATCAGAGGAATGGAGTCATGCTGGAGAGGGAACTATATTGCAAACTCCATTATATTGGGGGGGCGGGAAAACAACTAAACTTAAGCACAAGAGTTCAGAGACTAATTCACCCATATCCTTCAAAGCTGAGGAATATCCTGCTTGCACCAGGTCGTAAGAAGTCACTGTCAAAGGAGGTAAGACACCTGACTACAAGTCCTCTCACAGCACCATCTTAAAACAGAACGATGAACTTCTTAAAGAAGCATCTGACCAGTGCCCAATACCAGAGGAGCTCCAAGCATTGGGAGCTTCCCAATAGCAGTGCCCTGCTTATGCCAGCTAAGACAAGTAAGGAGAACATCCCTAGTTGCCAACTGCTGAAGGCTGGCACTGCTGCAAAGTTCACTATGAATATTCCTCTCTGCTTTGCTATTCAAAAACAAGTTCAGCTCAGATTTTTTTGTTGAAAGCCTGAAGTCCGAGTTTTAGCTCTGAAGCACCCACTCACCTTAACAGAAGACAGAAGTTGTGGTTGCATAGTGAAAAGTTTATTTAAATAGTTTGGAATTCAAACAATACATGTCACAAAACAGCCACACCATACTGAATATAAACACGCTAACCGAGCTCTAGAAGAAAATGCAAGCACACTAGAAATATAGACTTTCTTTGGGCCATAGAGCAAAACATTCAGTGCCACATTTTGGTAAAGTATCCTTTTGATATTTAAAAACAATCCCTTGGAAGGACAAAGAGCAGCAGTTTGGTGCAGAGAACTTGACTCAGTTTGAAACTACAGTACATTAAAAAACATTTCACATAACACAGATGAGGACTGATGAAAAAAACCCACAGATCAAGAAAATAAACCTTTGAGGTGTGTCCAGCTACAAGACATTCCCTACTGAGAGGCATGTTGCAATGAGGTGGGGACTGGCCTTTCCATCTTGTAGACTGCTGTCATGAGGGTACCTTAGAGGCCTCTTGGAGGTTGCCTTCAACCACTGAAAGTTTTCAAAAGTAACTAAAATTCAAAGTGGTCACTTGGCAATGCCTCATTAGCTCCTGGCATGATGGCTGGCATCTAACATCTCAATCTATGAATCTCACTTTTGCCCAAAGGACTGAACCCATCATCCATTCTAGCCAGTCACAAATCAGATTCTTATTCCATATGAATCACAGAGTCTTACACTGTCAGAAAGGAGAGGAAGTACACATTTCTTCAGCTGATACTTCCAGAAGTCACAGGTAATTAGGAGACCAGAATATATGGAATTGTCATACTGGATCAGACCTTCTCACATGGTATCCTGTCTCCAGCTGCAGCCCACACCAAATACTTTAGAGGAAGGTGCAAGAAACTTCTTAGTAGGCAAACAAGGGGATAGCCTGTCCCTTTAGGAAGTCTCCTCCCAACTCCAGATAGTAACAGATTGATTTGAGCCCTGAAGCTTGTGGTGTTTGATCTCTTCTAGAACTTCATTTTAATTTAGTATTTATTGCAATAATCCTGGACATTCTTGTTATCCATAAGTGTCCCATCGCTCTTTGAATCTTGCTAAATTCTTGTCAATGAGGCCAATTCTAAATTTACCATGGTACAATTTCAATGACTGTCCCTATTCGATCTGCATGCCTTCTTAATATGGATATGCCTAGCAATGCACTGCTCCCATGGTTCTACCAAGTATGGGAGAGGAGAACAAGTCATCTACAATTTAGAGATTTTTGCAGCTTTGATCCTTCATCTAGTTCCATAGTACACAGCAGCACATATCAACTCCAACTCTGGATTCACAAACTCCACTAGGGGAGGGCTGAATGGCCACAAGATCTGCTATTTTTGTGTTCGGTTAGCATGGTCACAAGTCCTCCTCATTGTAACTGCCTTGGCATCCACGCATCTACAGCTCCCTCAAGAAAAAATAACACTGAGGCATTCCAGTATGCATGCCCACTAGTAGCAAAGACACCTTTTGAAGGCAAAGGCCCTGTGATGCCAGAGAGCTCAGGCTTTCAGTTGTAATCCTCAGCTCCTTGGTGAGAAGGTCTCAGTTAAGGCAGTTTTAATCTGCCAGGAACAGAGTGACAGATATTGCAACCAGATGCAATATCTTTGGGGACCATATTGTTTTAAGTTTATGTATCACTGTGGGCCAGGGATTATATGAAACTTCTGGTGAGAGGGTCATCACAGCTCCTTGAGGAACCAAAAACAGTGGGGGTGATTAAGATGAATCACTTAGGTCAGGGGTAGGCAACCTATGGCACGCATGCCAAAGGCAGCACGCGAGCAGATTTTCAGTGGCACTCACACTGCCTGGGTCCTGGCCACCGGTCCAGGGGGCTCTGCATTTTAATTTAATTTTAAATGAAGCTTCTTAAACATTTTAAAAACCTTATTTACTTTACATACAACAATAGTTTAGTTATATATTATAGACTTATAGAAAGAGACCTTCTAAAAACATTAAAATGTATTACTGGCACGTGAAACCTTAAATTAGAGTGAATAAATGAAAACTCGGCACACCACTTCTGAAAGGTTGCCGACCCCTGACTTAGATTGTAAACGACTGCAAAGAGATACCACCCCGGGGAGGCTTGCACACTTACTGGTTCAAAGTGGGAGACAAACAGACAAAGAAAGGACTTTTGATATAAAACAGCTGGGTTTAAACTGACTCAGGCCTCCTTTGTGATCCTGCAAACAGACAGGGTCTTATATCTGAGGGAAGCCCCAATCCTTGTGGAAGGTTGGAAAGACTTTGGCCTATTAGGGCCCCCTATGACTGAGCAGAGTAACCTCTGATAAGCTTTTAGCATGTATATAGGAATTTATTGTTTTTATAGGTTTGCTCTGTAATGCTTTTACCTTAAAAAAGGTGCTTGCTTAGAAAGAGCTGTGTGGTAACTCATAACTGCTGGCAATACACTGTTCATAGCCCACAGAGAGAAAGCAACACACAGGGACTGGCTGTTAGGCAGACTGGCTTACTGGGGATATCACAGTGTAAGGCAAGGACATGTGCAGCCTTAAAACCTCCAGTGAAAAGGGAGTGGGACAAGAGTCCTTGCCCAGAGACAGGTGACAGCTGGAGACCTGATTGGGCACTCCTGGGGTGGACCACAATGGGGTGTGTGGATACAGGTGCAGTTACCCTGAAACTGTAACAGACTATAAGGGATCACCAGCCTGACTTCTAGGTGTGCTATTTGGAAGGTAGATGGAAAAGTGAGGGGGAGGAAACCCTTGCAATTAAGGATCTGAGGAAAGTAAATAAAGTCTATGGCTCTGGTTTCACTCCCTCTTGTTTCAAGGCACCATGTGATAAATCCTTAGGGAGTGGCTTTTGGGGGAGGGAGGAGAGGAGAAGAAAAAAAAATCCAACTGGGATGCAAGTGTACTAGAATAGAGATCCCTCCCAAAACCCCACCCTGAAAAGATATCTAAAGGAGTTCCTTCCTGCTCCAGAGCCACCAAGGCACAGCCACTGGACATGTTACATGGCTCCCCCACTTATCTCCTACCCAGCTCCACAAGTCCAGCCACACTTACTGTTTCTGTACACTTACCCACTGGAGGCGCACACACAAAATATTAAAAAGGGAAGCAAGTGCACAGTTCACAGGCAGTGAGACAGGAGGCAGAGTGCTTTGGCCAGGAAGTTCTCTAGTTTCTAGAATAGACAAGGTCCTAAGAAATTCCACTTCGACTCCCACATAAAAAGCTAAAAACAGACATCTAAATTCTCTCTCTCAAGGTCTGAATGTGCATTTTCATCCCAGCTCTAACATTTCAAAAGAGACTTAACATGATGCCACAAAGTTATTTAACAGGCCCCGAATATTAAAGTGTCTGCCCTAGAAGTGGCACAAAAAACCCTACAAATAACCCTTCGGAAGGGTCCAGATCGCAGGCCTCCAAGTAGTCTGAAAACCAATGGCAGCAGGAGTAGGCCCTTGAAGTCAATGAAATTTTGCCAATGACTTCAGTTTAAACAGGTCCCAAGAGTTTTAATTCTGTGACCTAAATGCAATACACACTACCTGGATTTCTACTGCTCTCAATACTCTTGCAATGGGGAAGGGAAGAGGGAGTTGTGGGTAATTTATGACTTCCTTTGACATTGTCACAATCTGCTAGGGATTTTAAGTCTCCACTGTTGTAAATTTAAGTACAAGAGTTGTTTTTTATGTATGACCTGCACAAAAAGCTATGTTTGTCCATACTTTCCCTTGCTGAATGTGCCATAGAAACTACTATGCAAACTCTCCCAGGTGTGTATAACATTCATAATTCAGGTGAACATACAAAAAAAAAAAACAGTAATTAATTTCACATTCAGTCACAAAAACACACAGGAGGAAAGACACACACTTTGCCAAATATAATTTTTTTTTTCCCCCTCTGGTGAGGTTTTAGTTTTTTCTAGCCACGAACTATAGGAGAGGAAAACACACAAAAGCATCACGCCATGGAAACAAGTTAGGAACTTTCCTCAAAGTGAATATTTTTAGGTTACTAACTGCCTTGCAAAACTAGAATCCATTTCAGAATTCACTTTTCGTCTCAGACTCAGGAGGCACAGCTCCCCATGTCTGCAATCAGAATGGAGGTCTCCCCAACACTGCTTCAGCTATAGGTACCAGGACTGGATACAAGCCTAGTAGGTATTGTGGGCAGAGCTCCCAAGGAAGCTGTAGCTTAGCGAGGAGTGAGACAGGGAGAGGAGGTTATTCCTTTGATCTGACTGGGTCTTAAGATGCCATACACTGAATGGAAATAACTGCTGTAAGCCACTGGCTATACAGCGTCCTTTCCTTGCTAACTGGATATGTTTTCTGCTAGAGACTTGATTAAAGTATTTTAACAAGACTAAAGGCTGAGTTACTGACTTTACTAAGAACAATTAGTGACAACTGCAAACCATTCTAAAGATAAGTGGTTCTCAGTCAGTTACCCATATATTTTCATTCAGTACCTGGGTGACAAGGTCACCAATATGTTCACATAACTTGGAAATGAAAGACCAAAGAAAAGTGTGACTTATCCTGGAAGCCGTGAAGCTTTAATTATTGTAGATTAAATATTCTCCACTTTCAGCTGTTTAGTGTTTACGGGAAATACAAGCTACTCTGGTGAAATATCAACAATGAAGGAAGATGTGTCAAGGCCCTTTTGCTCCAGTCAGCAGCAAACATGGCTATAGACACAATGAGGTAATAAGACTGGCACATATACCAGCTTGGGACTGCACACCATATACAAGGACCATTTGTCCTTAATCAAGGAGGCAAGAAGGGGGCAAATCTGATGAAGTGGACTGAGCCTCAAAAGAAAGATCTGTCTCTATTTCAGAAGGCCAGGACTGAACACTGGGATTCCCATCTACTGTACAGTCCACCTTAGCTAAGGACTATTTGGAGCAGCTGCCAATTACCTAGAAAGGAAACAGTCTCTTACTGGCTAAAGGGGAACAATTTATCCTGGAGACAGTTCTAGAACACTGGCCCTGAGTAGAGCTCTTCAAATGAAAATCAATGACATCAGCGGTCTCTAGAATACCTGGTATATATACACACAGGTCAGACGTGTCTTCCTTATTTACTAAGTCTGGTTTCAGACTGCGGCTGATGGCCTAGACAGTGCATCACTCATTCCTCTCGTCTTTCAGATGCATGCAGGACCCTCCAAAATACGTAGCAAAGGGCCAAATACATAGCAGTCACTGATGTATTGCACAGCTGGGGGTGGGGGTGGCAGAACAGGGGACATGGAGATTTACAGTCAGAAACAGAATATTTAAGGGATGGGGCAGGACTCTGCTCCACATCTGGTGTTTAGGAAGTTGAGAGCCAGACTGAGTAAAAGAGGGGTTCCTTGCATTAGCTGATCAGGCCCTGGGGGGAAGAGGTTGTGGACGGAAGCAACTTGAGAGGGAGGTACCTGCCCTGGCACTTCAAAGAGGGCTTGGGGAGGAAGCAGGCACCCCTGCCCAGGCCGCTAGGGGGTCAGGGAGAGAGGAGCCCCTGCCCAGGCTGCTCAGAAGGGAAGGGAGGGCCCTCCCCTTAAAAAAAAAAAATCCTGCTTCTCTTCCTCCTTGCAGGGCCCCTCCACTGATGCTACCTGGAATTAGGAGGCTACTTTACCTTCCAGCTCCTCCAGGGCTGGGCCACTCTGCTCTTCACTCCCCTTTCCCTTCCTGGGAAGAGAAAAAGAGCTACAGCTGCTCCCTCCTTGTCTATGTGCCTCTTAAAAGAGGAGCAGCCCTGCTCCTCATCCCTCCTCTTTTAGCACAGCAGTAGTGCTCCCTGCCTCCTTCCTCTCCTGAAAAACAAAAACACATGTTGGTGCCTGAGCCTATGCTGCCTTGCCCTCCCCACCCACTACTGTTGAAGCAGCAGACTGGCAAGGGCTGCTCAACTGTACGCCTCCCTCTGCTCTTACCTCCCTGACCTACACATTGCTCCTGAGTGCTTAAGTAGGCAGAGCAGATAAAAAGAAGGGTCTGAATCAAGAGGTATGGAATCACCAGGGAATTACTGGGCTTCTTAGGAGGGTGAAGACTGACTTTATACACAACAACACTAACCCCATCTGCAGTGAGGGCTGTATCTGCACAGAAGGGCAATATCTGGAGGGTGTCAGACTGGAACTTCACCAGAATCATCATGCACAAAGCCAGTCTAACTCCAAACAGACGCACCACAGAGCAAATTCAGCAGCTACATTGAAGGGGAATGTTATTGAATAAAATCAAATAAATACTCACTTCAAATCTTAAAGAGTTACAAATAAATACCCTTTAAAACCCAACTGTTGACAGATTAATGTGACCCTTGCTTATTCCTGCCAAGAGCTGAGCAGAGGCTGACCACTAATGCCATTGCTAACCCCTGAGGTGGGCCAGGGAGCTGCATTCCTTGACATGTTAGGCGTTAGCAATGACTTCAGGGACTCACTAACTCCAGGCGGGTATATAAAGGAAAGGCTGATCCCATATTTTTCAGATTCAAAGTGTGTTGACCTGGGATTGTTAACAGTTTTACATTAACACAAGAGGCTGCAGCTCAATTTTCCCCACAGGTAAGAGAAACTTTTGTTGGTGACAGGAGTTTCACACATCCCCACTGTCAGGATGATCTGTATCCACCTCCCCAGCCACACTTGCTTTCCCTTTCCTATGGAGATCTTCTTATTGATTACCTCTGCAAGGCTCCAAAATAAAGGTTTCACGCGATTGGGTCTGGCACTTGTGACATAACTACACCACCACAAATGGGGTCAGAGGATGCAGGCTGCAACTCAGGTAGTTGGGGGGATGAGTCCCCACTCAGAGATTAATGGAGGCTTGGCTAGTGTATGAAGCACAGCAGTGCAGATAGGATGCAGCTGGAGAGTGCCTGTGGTACAGGTGGCTTTGCCTCCTAGCAAAGTGTGGTTGGCAGTTACCCCCTGGTGATCCAGAGGTGGCAGGAGAGTTTGAGGATTTTTAAATAAAAGGGTATTTCAGCTTCAGTTCATACAAGTGCAACAGAAAGAAACGCTGCCACCTGAATCTGCCCTCTGACAATTTACTGGCTGTAATGAAAAGTCCCAGCCTGATGCCTGCACAGAGCAGGCTTCCTGAAATTTAGAGAGAGGAGTTGCCTTTGGACGACTGAGCAGCCACAGCTACCGTTTCCTGTGAGTAAGCTGGGAGGGAATGGGGGAAAACCTGTTCTTATCCACAGGAGAGCAGAGAGCCAGGTCTCTCACTTGGCCACAGGGCAGTGCCAATTAGGGGGTGCCAGTCCCGGCTGGCAGCCTGCTTTGCTCAGTGTTACCTGCCTGCTGTCTCCGCTCCCTCCACTCCTTCAGCTGGTGTAATAGACATGAAAGAAGAGAGTCTTGTTGCGCAGGAGGGAGTAGGAGTTGTCAAATTTGAGCAGGTAGATGCCCTCGCCCGGGTAGTCATGGCTGCCTGCCTGCACATCCCGGTGACTGTCCCTTCGGTACACAGGCATGATCTCCCCATAGCGGTTTCGTAGATAGCTTTTAGAGCCCCTCTCCACATCTCCAATGGGGGTGAGTCCTGAGTGGGAGAGAGGAGACAAGCAGATCAGACAAACCAACAGAGGGGAAATGATCAGTAAGGCATGGTTACACGACAAGGACATGTGATATAGCTAATGAAGACTGGCTGAGATACCCACCCTGTCCAATGCACAGCCCAAAGTCTCTCTACATAGGACGCCTGCTTTGAGAGGGGGCACCCTTTGGGACTGATGCACTGGGGAATAATTTGAATTCCCCCCACCACTTCCCTCCTTGTCCTCTTCACCCAGTAGACACCTTTAAACAGCAGGGTCTCCTCAAAGTGGCCCAATGCCAGAGATAAATTGATTGTGGGTGGAGGAATGCAATGGAGAGTTTCACCTCTGGCCTTGGGGGTCTCTCGGCCTTCCCTTCTACTTCTCCAAGAGGATTCCTCAGTAGGGCTTAATTTCAGTTATTATTGGTCCCGAGATGGGACCTGCATTGGTCTTGAGACTCCCTGCACCTTCTAGGCTACAGATACTCCAAAGACATGTGCAGCATGCCCTCTGGGTGCAATCAACAAGAGCTACTGATACAGTGAGAAAAACACTACTCTCCAACCCAGGAACCGCATCAGCATCGCAATCTGTTAGGCTGATGATCAAAGAGTTAAGTCAGAGTCTCATACTGTACTCTGATCCTGTTACAGGTTAAAAACTGATCAAGGGATAGAAAACAGAGTGGGAGCAAGTGATCAATGTTCAATATGCAAGGATATGCTGTGTTATTGGTGGAGCATACCCCTGGGGTGGGGGAGAAGAGCAGCCATTAGGAAGGGTCTTCTCATCATTAGCTTGGGACTCCAAAAGGGTTGCAGTCAACATGTAGGTAGACTAGCCAAAGTGGTGAGGAATTACAGCACCTGATTTGGAGGTACTTGGGTACCATGGTGATGAACACAACATTAATTTCTCTTGTAAAGTTTTGCACTGACCTTCGATCTCATCTTCTTCCTCTTCATCTTCCTCATCACTTGATTCACTGACTTGCACAGTAATGGCAGTACTGGTGACAGAAGTCCAGTCAAAATAGACCCCAAAGCCAATGTCATAATCATCCGTAGCAAACTCCCAGCAAACACGCTTCCCATTTGGGTGTGTTGGCACCCGGACTGTCACTACTTCACCCCGTTTCACCACCATCCGAGCATTCTTCTCCTTTCCCATTTTGGCTTTGAATTCCCTTATCTTGCAAGTGGTCCAAGTGGAGGCTGGAGCCAGAGGAGGAGGCTGAGCTGAAAAATACAAGACAAGCCACTCATCACTGGTCAGAAGGCAACCAGAGAGAGTTCTGCTAACAAGAGGGCTATTCCTGATAAAGCTCTTGAACTCAAATCTTTACCTTCCATCTCCTCTCAAGGCAAGGACAGGTGCCTTCCACTAGCACTGCCCTCAGAACTGGACATACTACTCTCTCGGTTTTCCCTTCCAACCTTCTTCCCTCCCTCCAGAGCTTGCAAAGCCATTCTCTGAATTAACTTGTTATCTGGAGGCACAGAGTCAGACTGCCAAAGTTAGGTACAGGCCTAACTAAAAATTCTGTCTCATCAAGTGCATTGCACAGTACTCCAGCACCTCAGCTCCACCTATGGCTTAACTCTGCTGCTTCCACACAGACACCCAACAGTGGCAGGTAGAGTTACTGGGCAGCACAGCATGATGACATAGCCTAAGAAACCAGATAGAAACCAACTAGCATCATGCATGCATGCAGAAACTGCCTTCTCAGCTGACCCAAAGCCTAAGTAATTCAGTCCAAAATTCATAAAAATGGAGGAGTGGGAGGGCTCACATGGCTTAGGCTTGGTCTACACTTACCCCCCAATTCGAATTAAGGTACGCAACTTCAGCTACGTGAATAACGTAGCTGAAGTTCGAAGTACCTTAGTTCGAACTTACCTCGGTCCACACGCGGCAGGCAGGCTCCCCCGTCGACGCCGCGGTACTCCTCTCGTATAGCTGGAGTACCGCAGTCGACGGCGATCACTTCCTGGTTCGACTTATCGCGTCCAGACAAGACGCGATAAGTCGAACCCAGAACTTCGATTCCCAGCCACCAAACTAGCGGCTGGGTGTAGACATACCCTTATTCTTCACACCCAGAGGCATAACCTCTCCCATGACCCATGGGGCTTGTCTACAAGCTCTCAGAATTTCCCACTGATTTAGCTCCACCAGTGGAAGTTCCAATGTAGAGAAGGTACTGGCATTTTCCCCACCACGTACAAACTTGCTCTGAACAGGGTTATAAACTATGACACCTCATTGAAACTAAAGGTTCCACCCTTGCTACCACTGATGGGAAATTCTAAGCAAACCTCTCTAGACCACCCTGAAGGAGTAACTCCACATGCATCCAAATGCCAACCATGGAACACAGCACACATTAAATAAGAGCAGAATAGTGAGGGAGGATAAACAGATGAGGCTAGGTCAGGTGGATACTATCTTGGACTTATGATGGCAAGAGACATCTTGAGTCCTGAAAGGGCAGCAGAGAGAAGAGATCACAGCAACAGTCCTGACCCTATCACCAGTCCCCTTTCTATTTCAAAGGTTTCCACAAACATCCAAGTATCCCTCAAACACCTTGGGTAGTCAGCCATTGCCCAATTTATTTTAAATCTATTCTCTTCCAAGCTAGGATCTATTACCAATCTCACAGGTCCTTTGTCTGTAGCCCTTTCTCCTGGTCAGTCTTCGGCGGTGTGCGGTGGGGGGGGAGGGAGAAGGGCATGGGGAAGAGGGGAGAGAGAAAGACAGCGCGAGCGAATGCAGTATCTGGCACTAACATGCCCTCCTCCACTCTGTCTGTTCCTAGATTTCTCTATGGCCTATTTGATAGCTCACCCACCAATTCACCTGCCCCAACACGCAGCAGGATCCAGTCTGTTCTAGATGCAGATACGTGATTCCCATTAAATGCTGTACTGAGTAACACTCAGGCATTGACAGGAGAAAGGACCTCACTAAGTTTCTTGCTCTCCGCTTCCTACTCGCAAATCTTCTCACCCCTGTGTCTGTGAGCTAATTTATAAGGGGAGGAGAGTTTGTTTTTAAACTGCTTTACTTAGGGCTTGTCTTCACTACCAGGGTAAGTAGACCTAAGTTACGCTACTCCAGCTATGTGAACAACATAGCTGGAGTCGACATAGTTTAGGTTGACTTACCGCAGTGTCTTCACTGTGCTGTGTTGATGGTACCTTACTCTTTTCAGGGAGCTGGAGTACTGGGGTCGACCAGAGAGCGCTCTGCCCTCAATTTAGCGGGTCTTCACTAGACCCACTAAATCAATCCCTGCTGCATCTAATTCAGATCTCCCCATGGTGAAGACCAGCCCTTAGAAATGTTTCAGCAGGTGCACACTCTAAAAAGATGGGAGTTGAGGAGGGGGTATGTGACCCACGTGGCAGGTTAGGTATTCAATGGCAATTAGAGTGCAGAGCACTGGAAAAGGTATACAATACTAAGTGATGTGACGTGTCTAAAAGCTACTTAAAGCAGTGACTTGTCCAGGGCCACAGAGCAAATCAATGGCAAATCTGGAAGTATCACACTAGCCACCAGACCACTCCCAGTGATAGAGAGCTGGTAATGTCTAGTAGACTGCCTCTGTCCACCCTATTGAAGGAGAGCATCAACAGTTCCAATCCTGCTGCCACAGGAGATCTGTGTTTACAGGCCTCATTCCTACCCAAGGGAACTACTACCATCACAGTCCTCACCTTTTCTCTGCTCACCAAGGAGGTCCGCAGTCTCCAGCTCTGCAGAGAGGACATCCACTGCACCTGTGTGTTCCGACTGTATCATGACTATATCCCCTGGTCCTTGTGGGGCACGGTACTTGGTCATCCGCACTACGGCCTCCTGTGCAGGGCACATAAGAAAGTTCCTCAGTGGCTCTGGGAGCCTCCAGTTGGATTTTAAATGGTTTGTCAGGGATCGAGGGAGAAGAAGGAGCCATTTCCATGAACTCACATCAATTTCCCACATCACAATTCACATCAAATTGGGTTTCTGCTACAAGTATAAAATATTTACTAAATAATTGGCTGGCTCAGAGGACAGTTTCTGTGCATGGTCTTCTCTGCCTCCAACACTGTGAAACTCTTGAGTCAAATGCTGCACTGTGCTTGTGTCCTCTGGTCTCCCAAGGAAGCATCATCTCCACAGACAGATAAGTCTAGCTATTTGCACTGCCTCAGAGTTTGGGGGCAGTCATTGCTCTATTTGGTAAAAGATTCCAGATCTACACAGATGCCCTCTAGTGCTGAAGCTGCTCCAGTTCTAGGAATCAGCCTCTTCAGTTTTCCCAGTGCTTAGACTGCAGTCACAATTAAACAGATGCCTGCTATGAACTTGTTAAAACTGTTGCCCAGATTAACACAGTACTGCCAATACCCACTCCTCACATAGGCAGATACAGAGTTTATGGTGCAAGAGTATTATTACACAACATCTCTCCGAAGCTGTATTTGAAATTACCAGGTGCTGTTTGTTCCCTAAAAGAACTATAACATTGCTTCTTCACTACCACCACCCCAAAAAAAAAATCTACTACAGTAACTCCTCACTTAACGTTGTAGTTATGTTCGTGAAAAATGTGACTTTATGCGAAAATGTTAAGCGAATCCAATTTCCCCATAAGAATTATTGTAAATGGGGGGGGGGGTTAGGTTCCAGGGAAATTTTTTTCGCCAGACAAAAGACATTATGTACATATACAGTATAAGTTTTAAACAATTTTAAACAAACTGCTTAATATTGTACACAGCAATGAATGATTGTAAAGATTGGTTGAGATGGTGGAGTAAGAGGGTGGAATATTTCCCAGGGAATGCCTTTCTGCTAAATGATGAACTAGCACTCGGCTGAGACCTCAAGGGTTAATACGCTGTTGTTAATGTAGTCTCACACTCTACAAGGCAGCGTGGACTGAGGCAGGAGGGAGGAAACACAATAGATGCAGGGCAGTAGCTGCAAACTCTTCCCTGCAAAAACTGAACATGATGATGAACCTACGCTATCCAGCTGGAGCGCACCACTCCCTCCTCCTGGCAGCACATGCACAGCTACACAGGTGCTGACGGGTGTGTGCATCAGCGAGAGAGAGACAGACAGACAGACAGACAGAGCCCCTTTAAGTACGCTGACCCCACTTCAAGTACATTGCCCTTTTAAGCAGATCAGCCAGTTCAGACATGAAGCAACAGCTTCCTGCAAGCTCCCCGCCCCACCCTTCTGTCCCCAAGCCCTGTGACTGTCCCCTCCTCCACTTTGTGGAGAGGGGGTATGGAGTGGGGGGGAGGGGTAGGAACAGGGGGACATCATGACATCAACACCCCTCTCCCCACCTTCCCCAGCAAGCAGGAAGCTCCCAGGAGCAGCTCCAAGGCAGAGGGCAGGTCAGGAGCAGCACTGCAGTGGGGGGAGGGCCACCTGAACTGCTGCTGGGCAGCTGCCGAGCCACATACCTCACAGGAAATTTAGGGGAGCTGATGGGGGGCTGCTGACCCCCCTGGTTCTAATCCCCACGAGGAGGGGCTCCTTTTCCAGAGAGTCCGTCAAGCAGTCGACAAAGCAGGCAGCTGCCAAACGACTTAAGGAAGCATTGCACAAACTTTAAACAAGCTTGTTCCCTAATTGGTCAACAACGTAACAACGAAACAGCGTTAACCAGGACAAAGTTAAGTGAGGAGTTACTATTGTAACCCCTTTTGGGGTTTAGAGAGCATGGCCCCTTTAAATCTTTTTCTGGGGAGCCTTGGAATTTCAGGGTCTTGGGATGCTCCTTCCCCAAGCCCTGTTGGTGTTAACCTGAAGTTTTCTAACCGTTTGCTGCAATCTCTGAGATACCCTTGCATGATCTGTCTTGTTTTAGCAGTCCAAGGCATAGTGACCATCTCTTCCACAGTTGTAACAGAACCCTTCTCGCCAGCTATCACCCCTCCTGAGGATGGCACAGTATGTCCCTGAGCCTTCATCATGGCCACTTCTCGGGTTAAATCTCAGTGCTGCTGCCACTGACGGGGCCTCTTCCATCTCTCCAAGCACTGTGGTAGTGTGACTCCCTGCCTTTTTCGGCTGCACCACTGCGTTCACTTGCAACAATCTATCTTCCTCTTCACGTATCTCTCGAATGAGCTTGTGGAATGGGAGCGGGTTTTGGGCCCACTCCCTCAGCTACAGTCGCCACAACATCAACCCATCTTGTCGGGTGCCCCGAAGGATTTGGTCTAACCTAGCAGAATCAATGTGCTTGGTGGGGATGCCCTCCTTTCGCACTACCTGCTGTAGCAAATCCTCTAGTCTCCTGATGAAATTCGACAATCATTCGTGGGGCTCCTGATAGGTATGGCGGAAATGATAATACAGGTCTTCACTGCTATCAGTAGTACCGTAGACACTCTCAAGAGCGGTTAAATAGTCTTGCACTGTGGCAGCTGGTTGGGAGTCTTTCAGGGCTCTGATAATTCGCATGGCAGGTCCCCTCAGACTCTCAAGCACACGTTTCCGCTTCTCAGCATCAGAGCATTCCCATTCTTGGATAAGTGGCACCCCCAAGAAAGAACGTAACCGCTTGTATGGAGCGCTTTCATATGCCGGCTTCAATGCATCTTTGAGAGCGTTTCCCAGCTCTTTGGCCCATCCCACCAGGCTGGGTGTTGCAGGTGGTGGAGCCCCTCCTAATGCCAAAATTAATTCTTCTCTTGTCCGTTTCTCATCCACCATCAGAGCTTGCAATTTCCGCGCTAAAGAATACACTAGGAGGGGACTGCTTTGCCCCCAGAATTGTCCAGGGGATACCTTCTACTTGCACCTCTTTGGGCACTTTATCAAGATCTGCTTCCTTGGAGTGAGTACATAGTGCTACCATGCCCTTCACTTTGCGGTTGTAAATACAGGTGTGGATCTTTACTCTCCCCAGTATTTCAGCTGCATCTAGGCTCTCCTCAATTTCAATTGATTCCATCTCTTCTGGGAACCCCGCCACCAGCACAGCTTTGGTTACTGGGATTCGTGCCCCTCGGCACAGGTCTTCTAGTAATCCTCTCTCCATTTTTTTTTTTTTTTTGAAAAACTGAGATGAAAGTTTCTTTGCTCTGTGAAGGAGAGTCCAGGGTGCGCAACGTAGGTGTGTGCACTGCAAAGTCCCTGTACGGGCCACCAAGTGTAACTTTAGTGCCCTTGTGGCCAAGATAGAGTCTGCTCTGCAGAAGAGAAAACACGCGCAGGAATGCAGCAGGAAAAATCCTGTCCACCCCAGGGGCACCTGTTCCAAACCCCCCAGAGTGAAAACACACACCCACAGGAAAAGTACAATGGATATAAGAAAAGGGAAATTTATTTACAGAGGGATGAGAGGAGAAAAACAACAAGGAGAAATATAGGGGGAGCAATAAAACAGGGTTGCATCCAAACCAAGGCCCCACGGGCCCAGTGGTAGCACAGTCTGGAAGGGCAGACACCGAGCAATGTGTCTGCACACAGAGTTCAGGAGTCCTGAGCAAAGTTCCAGTCCAGTGGTGAGCCTTGGGGGCTCCTGGTCGTCTTCGGCGCTCCTGGTCATCTTCGGCGTCAGTGAACTTTTCCCCAACAAACCCCTCCGGTGCCCTCTTCTGCCACTCTCTGCAAAGCCACACAGAGCGACCACCTCCCCACTTAATTATCTAGCAACCTCCCTCCTTGTTCCCAATGCAGAGTGTCATAACTATAAAGGGAAGGGTAACAGCCCTCCTGTGTACCATACTATAATCCCTCCTGGCCAGAGACACCAAAATCCTTTTACCTGTAAAGGGTTAAGAAGCTCAGGTAACCTGGCTGACACCTGATCCAAAGGACCAATAAGGGGACAAGATACTTTCAAATCTTGGTGGGGGGAAGGCTTTTGTTTGTGCTCTTTGTTTTTGGGGGTTGTTCGCTCTCGGGACTGAGAGGGGACCAGACATCAATCCATGCTCTCCAAATCTTTCTGAACAAGTCTCTCATATTTCAAACTTGTAAGTAAACAGCCAGGCAAGGC